CTATTTAATGTGCACGGTTGACTGCTTTTTGGGAGTTTGTCTCAAGTTGCAAGTCCACAAGTTAGGAATTAAAATTTCAATGAACAAATATTGATTCTTTCCAATATTTCTCTGTGTAGATAGTCCTTAATTGAATAAAATAAGTTGGTATTAATATAAGTGCTCATTAATTACCTAGTTCGCAAATATAGATTACATCAATAAAAAACCTACAGAAACTATATAGAGGGCCAGGGATGGATTTACTCTGTGTGTGGGGTGGGTGCTATTTTTCTTCATAAAGCAAAAAATATTTGAGACAAAATGAGATGCAGTAATTTGAGTAATAACATGATGATAAGCAAACTGTGAACAACAAATTATTAGTTCAAATACAGTAGTCAAATTATAGTACTGCTGTATGTTGATGGGCACACCTGGGTACATAACACCAATTTTATAATTTTACGGTTCAAATTTTATTTATATGTAAAATGCTCAAAATAGCATAAATTGCTGACAGTGCAATATTTTCAGCAGGATATACATGTAAAGCCCTGGGCAAACTGGGAAACATTGTTGCAGAAACATTTGTGATTCTCGATGTTTCCTCAAATGTTTCCATGGAAACATTGTTGCGGAAACAAAATTTGCTTCCGGGAAGCAAAAATGTTTCCTAGCAAATTCAGAAACATTTGATGTTTCCCTATGTTTCTCACTAATGTTTCCTAGTGTTTACCCACTCTGGGAAACATGGCGAAACATTGGTAGGAAACAATGTTTCCGCAACAATGTTTCCTAGTTTGCCCAGGGCTTAACTCAAAATCAGTTCGAAACTCGAGAAAACTGTTTAAGGTGACTCCCTACGGTTCTCTCAAATTTTATGTATTTTTATTGGTAAATTTCACTTTTAACCAAATTTACACTGACGATTAAGGGCAATATGATCATTCCCAGCAAAATACAGAAACTAGTGTGTGCTGTTCATATACAGTATAAATAAATAAAAACAATGTAGATGTGGTCCATAAAGGAGTAACATATTAAAATAAAAATTTGAAAGGATCGAGGTTGTATGTACATAGGGATCGATGTGCTGGATCAGTATACCGGTATCCAGAAAATTTAGACATCCAGCAGTATCCGGTAAAAATTTGCCGGATATTTACTACAAAATAAGAAAAACCTATCTGTAGAATTTCCTGAAATTTCGATATAATATATGTTGTTATTACTCATCATGCTTAGGAAATTTGCAACATTTCACAGAAGGAAAGCTGAGAAAAACAGTCCTAAAATCAACTTTATGTTGCTCATGCAATGAAATTTCAATTCGACAAGATCACCATCTACGCATGCGTTTAAATTCTGCAGAGTGAACAACAATACGAAATGCATGTGACTTATAGTCTACCATTTCCTAGCTGCATTCTCAAAATTGCATTGCTTTTCATACGATATAGAATAAGATTAAGAATGCATATTCATATTATGATAATGGCATACATGCAAAACAGTCAAACATACATAAACTAAACACGTTCTTCTTGGAAACTTGGAACCATATCTACAAATGCTTTAACGAGATTTTACAAATCAAAGCTCCTCCTGTAAATGGTTGTTGTCCTTGTTCAGTTTTAGATTTGGGGATGCAGCGTATTCTCGGGTGTTCTCTACGGATTTAGACTTTTTGAGAGAATGATTTTTGTGGTGATTGGCGCCCAACCTTGGCTACGAAATATCCACAATGGGCCATTCCATTTAATATGCGCACCCCCCCTATTGAGGGTTGGGATATCCAGGGGGTCCAAAGAACAAAAATCCATTAGGAGAAAGAAATTTTTCAAGATATATCCATGGGTAAATATAAAAAAATCCAAATGGAAAAAATTTAAACAAAATAAATCCATGGTAGTAAATTTATTTATTCATGGCAGTAAATTTATCAGTGAATTTATTTGTGTATTAATTCTATTTCAAAGAACATATGCAAAATATCCATTGAACAAATTTAACAAAATCCAAAAATCCAGGGGGAGAAATTATGTTTAACCCTCAATAGGTTAACAAAGGTTTAGAAAATCCACGGGAAATGTTAAAATGAGAAATCCACATACCCTATTACTAAAGCAATATCCAGGGGGTATTTTTTGTAAACCCTCAATAGGGGGGGTGCGGTTAATAAATGGAATGGCCCATTTACATACATACAAATTTGCATGCACAAATTATTCCCTGACCCAGCGTAAATGCAAATTTAATATAAGTCGATTAAAAATTCTTACCTAACAGGAACATTAGGCCCAGATCTTTCAGTTTGGCTCTTGGAGAACTGCAGTTTTGA